CTCACCTGGATTGGCGGGCGAGCTGGAGTCGTTCCTCGCGGGCATCTGGAACAGTTATCCAGGTGGGAGGCGGAAATTCGAGGGTATCGAGTGCGTCAAGTGCACGGCGTGGGGGGGGGGGTCCTGGGCTAGGTCCCCTGGAGAATACAGCCAAGTCTGCGCAGTCCCCAGGCGACTTCCCCCCCTTCTAAGGTCGATGGGGCGAAGGGGGTGCTGTTCCGTTTGGAGCACGACCATTTCGCATCGGTCGCTGGGGAGGGGGCGGGGCATCGCCAGGAGACATCCTCCCGGACCCTCACTAGTACACCCATCGTCGACGTCCGTGGGGCGCCCTCTGGCGGCGGGGACGCACTGGGAGAGGCGTTCCAGTCGGAGCGCCCTCAGGGTGGGTCCGCAGCTGGGGGGTCCTGGCGGGGGCCGGGCGGAAGTTCATTCATGTCTTGTGGTAGCGTCGAGGCGCCCCTCGCGGTACCGTCGTAGCCGAGAGAATGCTCCTCTCGGAGCACGGCCGGGCGGCTGCCGCGGGGTTTGAGCCTCGGTGCGAGGTAGCTGAAGCTGGTAATACTAGCCATAGTTTAGGGGCGCCGTCTTGCGGCGCCGCGGTGGCTCTCCCCGCGCAGGGATCCACATGCATCTGTATGAGGCGGATCCCCGCCCGGGGATCCACTCGCATCTTCATGAAGCGGATCACCCTAGGATTCGCGTACAAACTCATGAGGCGGATCCCCACTTGGGGATCTGCACGTGTCTGTTTGAGGCGGATCCTCCTCGGATCCACGCACAGACACATGAGGCGGATCTCCACCCGGGGATCCACACACATCTGTATGAAGCGGATCCCCCTGGGATCCGTGTACAAACTCATGAGGCGGATCCCCACTTAGGGATCTGCCTCACACGTGTCTGTGTGAGGTGGATCCCCTCGGATCCACACACAGGCACATGAGGCGGATCCCCACCGGATCCGCACACAGACTTACGAGGCCGATCCCCGTGCGGGGGGCCGGGGAGCCGATCAGAAGGACCGAAGACCAGTGCTACTTCCGGACCGGTATGACGGAAGCTCGTCCTGGGCGGATTACCTCACACACTTCGAGAGTGTGGCCACCGTCAATAAATGGAGCAGGGCCGAGAAGGCGGAGTACTTGGCCTCCCATCTGCGTGGACTGGCCCAGGAGGCATTCACCGACTTGTCGCCGGAGGCCCAGAGGGACTACGTGAGCGTTCTTGAGCACTTCGAGCGGTGGTTTGGAGTTGCTTCGCAGGTGCCGTTCCATCGGGCTCAACTTTCCATGCGGGTGCGCAGTCGGGGAGAGTCCCTGGAGGAACTGGGGAGGTCCATCCGACGGTTAGTCCTCCGGAGTTACCCCACTTTGCCCACGCAGGCGCGTGAAGATCTGGCGGTTGAGGCCTTCCGGAACGCCCTGCGGGACGAACAATTGCAGCGCCATGTCTTCGCAAGTAAGGCCACGACCCTGGCAGAGGCGATTACCCTGGCCACTGAGATGGAGGCCTTTTTGGAGTCCCAGATTTATCAGCGGGAGGGTAGGATCGAGGCCAAGGAGGCCCGAGTGGTCGAGGAACCCTCCGCAGGTACACCAGGCAAGGCGGGGGCGGCGGGTGGAGACCGACCCTTGCCGGGCACACCCTCGCGGGTCCAGTGCTACGGGTGCCGCGAGTATGAGCATTTCCGCCGGGATTGCGCGGGAAGGGGAAGGGCGGCGCCGTCCGGGGCCGGCTGCCGGCGGAGCCAGTCTCGACGGCGCCGCCGGGGCCGGCCCCTCCGGCGGATTTGGCCCCCCTGCGGAGCCGGCCGCCGGAGGTGGAGGACGAGTTCCTGGTTGCGACAACTGACATGGACGGAGAGGAGGATGACTCAATTTTGGATGGGTTTCCCGAGGTCTGAGACCTGAGCAAGCTAGCTCAGGAGCAGCAGGACGACCCAGAGCTGGGACCAGTCCGCCAGTGGCTGGTGGCAGGGAGTGACCGGCCTGAATGGGAGGACATCTCCGACCTCGGTGCCGGGGTCAAAAGCTGGTGGTCCAGATGGGACACACTGCACCTATTTCGAGGGGTCTTGCAAGTGAAGTGGGCAAGGGCCGACGGGGGCCCCCCACCTGAAAGATCGCCGTCCCGCAGGCCAGGGTGCCAGAGGTTCTACTTCTTGCCCACAACCACCGAACTGCTGGACACCTCGGGGTCGCTCGGACCGTGGCCCGACTCAGGCAGGCTCCTGTGTATTGGAGGGAGATGAGACGGCAGGCTGAGGAGTAGTGCCAGGAGTGTCATCTCTGCGGTTCTAAGAAGTCCCCACCGCGTCCCAGGAGAGCTCCGCCTCGACAATACCTGGTGGGGGCCCCCATGGAGCGGATCGCCATTGACCTTACCGGACGCCTGCCCCGAACCAAGGCCGGNATCGAGGCCTTTGTGGAGTCCCAGGCCTATCAGCGGAAGGGTAGGATCGAGGCCAAGGAGGCCCAAGTGGTCGAGGAACCTTCCGCAGGTACGCCAGGCAAGGTGGGGGCGGCGGGTGGAGACCCACCCTTGCTGGGCGCCCCCTCGCGGGTCCGGTGCTACAGGTGCCACGAGTATGGGCATTTCTGCCGGGATTGCCCGCGCGGGAAGGGGAAGGGCGGCGCCGTCCGCGGCCGGCTGCCGGCGGAGCCAGTCTCGACGGCGCCGCCGGGGCCGGCCCCTCCGGCGGATTCGGGCCCCCCTCAGAGCTGGCCGCCGGAGGCGGAGGACGAGTCCCTGGTTGCGACAGCCGAAATGGACGGAGAGGAGGATGACTCGATTTTGGACGGGTTTCCCGAGGTCTGGGACCTGAGCAAGCTAGCTCAGGAGCAGCAGGACGACCCGGAGCTGGGACCGGTCCGCCAGTGGCTGGTGGCGGGGAGCGACCGGCCTGAATGGGAGGACATCTCCGATCTTGGCGCCGGGGTCAAAAGCTGGTGGTCTAGATGGGACACACTGCGCCTATTCTGAGGGGTCTTGCAGGTGAAGTGGGCAAGGGCCGACGGGGGTCCCCCACCTGGAAGATTGCCGTCCCGCAGGCCAGGGTGCCAGAGGTTCTGCTGCTTGCCCACAACCACCGAACTGCTGGACACCTCGGGGTCGCTCGAACAGTGGCCCGACTCAGGCAGGCTCATGTGTATTGGAGGGAGATGAGACGCCAGGCTGAGGAGTGGTGCCAGAAGTGTCATCTCTGCGGTTCTAAGAAGTCCCCGCCGCGTCCCGGGAGAGCTCCGCTTCGACAATACCTGGTGGGGGCCCCATGGAGCGGATCGTCATTGACCTTACCGGACGCCTGCCCCGAACCAAGGCCGGGAAAAAAGCATAATGGTAGTGGCGGACTATTTCACGAAGTGGGTGGAGGCGTTTCCCCTTCCGGATCAGACGGCCGAGACTGTGGCCAAGACCCTCGTGGAGCAGGTGATCACGCGCTTCGGGACACCCCTCGAGATCCACATGGATCAAGGGCGGGAGTTCGAGGCGGGCCTGTTCCGTGGGGTCTGCCAGCTGTTGGGCATCCACAAGACTAGGACGACTCCGTTCCACCCCCAGTCCGACGGCATGGTCGAACGGTTCAATCGTACCGTGAAGACCATGCTGAGCATGTTTGTGGATGAGAATCAGGACGACTGGGACGAACATCTTCCCTACGTCCTGATGGCCTACCGCTCCTCCCAGCACGATAGCACCAGGCTCACCCCGAACATGCTCATGCTCTGGAGGAAGGTGGGACTTCCCCTGGACGTCGTTGTGGGGTCACCGGAGGAACAGATGGAGACTACCGAGCCACTATATTACGTCGACGAGCTGAGAGCGAAGCTCACGCGGGCCCACAAGTTTGCCTGGCGACACCTGAGGCCGACTCAGAGCTACCAGAAGCAGCAGTACGACCGTCGCGCCCAGGAGGGCGGGTTCGAGCCTGCCAGGCTGTTTGGCTTTTCACCCCAAAGAAGAAGGTCGGCCGCTCCCCCAAGCTGCAACGGTGGTGGGACGGACCCTTCGCGGTGCTACAACGCCTCAACGACGTGACCTACAAAGTGCAGCGTAGCGCCCGAGCGAAGGCTCAAATCGTGCATCGCAATCGGCTCAAGCGCTGCCTGGGTGACGTGCAGTTTGGATGGTGGGAGCGCGCAGCCCGCGGAGCCTTGGCCGAGGAGGCACCAGCGCGGGCAGGGGGGCAAGGAGCCAGCAGATCCGGCCCTCAGTCCTGCCCACGGGGGCCATCTCCCCCCGTTGACGAAGGGACCGCACTGGAACCTATTGACGGGGCGAAGTCGGGACACCCGGGCCGGAGCGGCGGCGTGTCGAACGGGGAGAATTCAGACACAAGCAGCCAGGGAGGCAGCGCGCCGGCGGAGCCATCGCCGTGCGAGCCGGAGGCGGGGGGAGCGTGCGTGATTCGCAAGGGGCGGCGGGTTCGGCGCCCGGCGCGATTCTGCTCCACGATAACTTTTGAATCTCCCTCTGTTTCTCTCCCCAAGATGGACCGATTGGCCTGCCCCCACTGTCGACGGGAATTCCGTCAGCGGATCAATTTGCGGCGACACCTAAGGACGGCTTGTCCGGAGTTGTTCGCCGCCCGGCCCTATACCTGTGAGCAGGGGTGTGGCTGCTGCTTCTACCGCTCGGACATGCGGGATCGGCACCACCGACACTGCGACCACGTCCTCGTTGGCCAGATCCGGGCG